CACGTGCCGCTTTCTACAAGGGAGTTGGAGGTCCTATGCATGCTGCAAGTTCTGGTGCTTTGAGTAGGAGTAAACCTTACTCCGCTCTTGCTAAGTTCCAAGGGAGTCGAGCTGCTGCTAGTGGGAGTAACTAACATGTTGGGGGAAGCAAGCCTTATGCTGGAAGATCTATTGTGAGTGACATAGGGAGTGTTGGAGGCTCTGTTTCTACTTCCACAGATCGATGCAAGAAGTGTGGGTGACATGGCCACATTAGCTATGAATGTCCTGACAAGGATGTCACGTGCTTCAATTGTAATGGAAAGGATCATATCAACACTTAGTGTCCTGAACCACCAAGACCACGTGTTATAGGATCAAGTGTCCAAGTTGAGCATCCAAAGGCTACTGGGAGAGTATTTTCTCTTAGCGGTACTAAAGCTGCTCAGTCTAAAAATCTAATACAAGGTACTTGTTTCATAGCTAGGACTCCTTTTATTGTACTATTTGACTTTGGTGCAACTCATTCCTTCATTTCTATTTCTTGTGTCCAAAGTTTGAAATTGCATGTGTCCTATTTTGATTTTGATTTGATTGTTGAAACCTCTACTGATGGTCCTGTAATTACATCTCAAGTCTGTTTGAAGTGTCCTTTGTTTATTTCTAACAAGCAATTTCTAGTTGACTTGATTTGTTTACCTCTTAGTCAATTAGATGTTATCCTTGGTATGGATTGGTTATCTTCCAACCATGTCCTTTTAAACTGTTTTGATAAATCCATTTCCTTCGGGGAATGTAGGAGTACAGAATTTCTTAGTGCTGCCAATATTAAAACTTGTTTAAAAGAAAATGAAAGGGTGTACATGATCTTAGCTTCCTTAACACTTGAGACTGATAGTAAGCTAGATGAGATTCCCTTAGTGAGAGAATTCCCAAAGGTTTTACCTAAGGATGTGTCTAGTTTACCACCTGAGAGAGAGAGTGAGTTTAGCATAGACTTAGTACCAGTACCTCACCTATATCTATAGCACCCTATAGGATGTCCCCTAAGGAGTTAGCTGAGCTTAAGAAACAGATAAAGGAGTTGCAAGGGAAACAATTCATTAGGCCTAGTGTCTCATCTTGGGGAACGCCTTTTTTATTGCTTAAGAAGAAAGATGGGAGCATGAGGTTCTGCATAGACTATAGCCAACTGAATAAAGTGACCATTAAGAATAAGTATCCCTTGCTTAGGATAGATTACCTTATGGATCAACTAGTTGGGCTTGTGTGTTCAGTAAGATACATTTAAGGTCAGGATACCATCATATTAGAGTGAGAGCTGAGGATGTTCTTAAGACTGCCTTTAGGACACGTTATGGACACTATGAGTATTTAGTTATGCCTTTTGGTGTGACTAATGCACCTGGTGTTTTTATGAACTACATGAATAGGATCTTTCGCCCCTTACTTGGATAGATTTGTAGTGGTCTTCATAGATGATATCCTAATGAATTGTAAGACTAGAGAGGAACATGTTGACCACCTTAGGATTGTCCTTCAAACCCTTAAGGAGAAGCAGTTGTATGTTAAATTGTCAAAATGTGAGTTTTGGTTGGATAGTGTAAACTTTCTAGGACATGTGATATCTGACGGTGGGATAGTTGTAGATCCTGCTAAGGTAGAAGCTGTGTTAGAATGGAGTGCACCTAGATCAATATTTGAGATTAGGAGCTTCCTAGGACTAGTTGGTTATTACAGAAGGTTCATAGAGAATTTCTCTAGGCTAGCCCTTCCATTGACTATGTTGACTAAGAAGGACCAACCCTTTGTGTGGGATTCTAGGTGTAAGGAAAGTTTTTAAGAGCTTACAAGGAGATTAACGTGTGCCCCTGTGTTAGTGTTACCTAACCCTAGTAAGACCTTTGAGGTATTTTGTGATGCCTCTAAATTGGGTTTAGGAGGAGTGCTTATGCAAGAGGGTAAGGTAGTAGTATTTGTTCTTAAGTTGTGGAGACATTACTTGTTTGGGTATAGATTTGAGATTTTTAGTGACCATAAAAGCCTTAAATACTTGTTTGACCAAAAGGAATTGAATATGAGGCAAAGGCGATGGTTAGAATTCCTTAAGGATTATGATTTTCAATTGAATTACCATCCTGGTAAGGCTAATGTCGTAGCTGATGCTTTAAGTAGGAAATCTTTGAGATTGTATTCTTTGATGATTAGGGAGTTGCATATGATTGAGGATTTTAGAGATATGAGCTTAGTGTGTGAGCTGACCGCTAAAAGTATTAAGTTGGGAGCCTTGAGAGTGATTAATAGCTTGATAGATGAGATCAGAGTAGGTCAAAAGGTAGATCCTTTCTTATTGAGTCAAGTAGAGAAGTTGAATCAAGGTGTGGAGAGTGAGTTTAGAGTTGGAGTGGATTGAGTGTTGAGATTTAAGGATAGGTTGTGCATTCCTAGTGTGCTTGAGCTTAAGAGAGCAATCCTAGAAGAAGGTCATAGGAGTAGCCTTAGTATCCATCCAGGAGCCACTAAGATGTACCAAGACCTTAAGAAGATGTTTTGGTGGCCTAAGATGAAGAGGGAAGTAGAGGAATTTGTGTATGCCTTCCTAGTATGTCAGAAAGCTAAGGTAGAACACCAAAGACCTTCCAGTTTGTTACAACCTTTAGACGTGCTGGTGTGGAAATAGGATAGTATCTCTATGGATTTTGTAGTTAGGTTACCTAGGACAGTGAAGAACTTGGATGCCATATGGGTCATTGTGGATAGATTGACTAAATTTGCCCATTTTATTCCCATTAATATTAGGTACCCTTTAGAGAGATTAACTAAGTTGTACATAGAGGAGATTGTGAGATTGCATGGTGTCCCTACTAGTATAGTGTCTGATAGAGATCCTAGGTTCACCTCTAGATTTTGGGAGAGCTTGCATGCGGCTTTAGGCACTAAGCTTAGATCGAGTTCAGCCTACTATCCCCAAACAGATGGCTAAACTGAAAGAACTATACAGTATTTGAAAGACTTGTTAAGGGCTTGCATCTTAGAGCATAAGGGTAGTTGGGATAGTTTCCTACCTTTGATAGAGTTTACCTACAATAATAGCTACCATTCTTAGAGTTGGGATAGTTGTTTAAATAATTTTTTTTATAAATGTAATATATTTTTATTTTAAAGTTGAAGTTTTACAATATGATCATGATATTTCATTATTTCAAATTCTTTACTATAAAGATAAAATTATTATTTTTCAATCATTATTTTTTTATATATTAATTTCAGTTCCTAAAATTGATCTCTAAAGATAAAAGTTGTGTATTAAAATATATTTTAAGTGTTTAAGTCAATTCTAACTTTTTCTTTAAAAATTTAATGTTATAATTAAATTAGTAGATTGAAATGTAATATTAATATAATAAATAATAAAATATATCATTCATAATATATTAAAAATTAAAATAAATTTAAAAATAAAATTGTATATGATTATATTATATATACCTATTATAAAAGGGATACTTAGATATGTAACTGTTTTTAGTCTCTACTTTTAAGTTAACCATTATATCCCTTTGATGTAAAACAAATTTCTTATATCTTTTATGAATAATAACTATCTGCAACCTTATAATATTTTATCTATATGTAACTATTAGAGACACGAAATATCTTGATCACTCTATATATATATTACGATAAGATTTTCAATACATTAAAAATAAATACCCAATATAGATTTTCATGTCCACCTAAAAAAGGGCCTCCGGAAGCTTTACGGGCTGAGGCCCAAAAAGAAAGGGCAAGAAATAAAGGAATCCAACATGGCCAAAAATACACGGATGGGCTTTATATCCGTCCGATCAATCTCCAATGCCCCCATCTGCACCCTATCATTCCAAACAATTTGAACCTTTGCATTCTTTTCTTCTACATTCTGCAACTCAGGTTCGGAACAAGAGTCCAAAATCTTTCGAGGTTAGTGCTCCTTTACGCTTATGTATATTAGATTCTGATTTTTTGTTTGTTCTAGAAAATTGCTCAGTGCTAAGGTTTTCTCATGATTCGAATTTGTTATAGGTTTATTGGAGTTTTTGAATGAATGTTTGGGTTTGGTTTAGGGTCTATAATGTGGGTGAAATTAGGCAAAAAAAATTGTACGTTGCGGTGACTATTTTAACTATGCGCGCAGTGAATATGTAAAAGCCCTTCCCCCACCCTGATTTCCATGCTCGTTGAACCAAGAATTTTGCAATATATATAATGACTAATTACCTACCTTTCCCTTTTCTTGCTTTTACAGTGATCCAACATTCCAATTAAAGCAAGTTAAAGTCGTGCACACATATTGGTAAGCCACTATTAAAAATGTTGTAGTGTGAGTTAAAGTGGTAGCTTGCAATTGCTTTGCATATGGTCACACAAATTAGAATCCTCTACAACCCCATTTTTCTTCAACCAGAATCTCAATTATTCATCATATTAATTTTGATTAAATAATTAATTTAATTAAAAACTATTTATTTTCGAGATAGAAATCAATCAAGTAAATCTTCTATCAATATGTTTATAAAACTACACTATTTAATAATTGTATTGAACTTTATTAATATGTCGTCTTATTTGAATTTTTTAAGTACATGTTTATTTTATCATCACATTAGTCTTTATCTACGTTTTACAAAAGTAAGCAGTTATGAATTCTATAGGAGTTCATTGATTAATTGTATTGGATTGTTGCAATGACTGATTGATTTGTATTGAATTGTATTAAACCCATATAAGCATATTTTTCATAGATTCATTAAATATATATATATATATATATTATTGTTAAATACTTTCTTGTTCTCATAGACTTTCTGAGATGTTTCTTTGGTTATTAATTAATCTATATGGTTGTTAATAGAGGATGGTGAAATGGAGTCCTGAGCATGAAAGTAATATATAAAAAAAATTCAATGCAAAAGCCTCTCATAGACTTTGAGATGTTTATGGATGCCTGAAAGAAAAATAAGAAACCAGATTGGATTAAAGATCGTGTGTGGAAATCTTTATTAGAATATTGGAATGCACCTACATATCGTACAAAGTGTACACAAGCACAAAAAAATAAAGCATTTGAAAAGAGTGGAAGTATGAACACATGTGGCTCCATCAACATGAATGAACATGCCATTCACATGGTATGTTTATATTTTAGTCTTCATTTTTTTAATGCTTAATTTTATATGTTAAATTTTGATTTATATGATGTTTTTATTTGTAGGAAAATGAGCTTGGTCGACCTGTACACCATGATGAACTTTTTCAGCAAACTCATATACGAAAAGACACTGGTCAGTTTGTTGATGATAGATCTAGGCGGACACATGTGAGTCTATTATGTTATTTTATTTGTCTTTAATTTTATTAACGTTTACACTATTTTTACGTATTGTTTATGATGATAATAGGAAGATTTTGAAGCTATATTTTCTTAAGCTATATCTGAGGTTGGATCCACTGTTGGCACCTCAGAATGCACCCTTTTAGACCCTATTGAGGAGGATAGACTTAGAAGTCAATGTTGGAATGCAGATATCGGTGGAAAATACAAGGGACGTCGTTATGGTACATGAGATATTTATGAGAATGAGGATAGCAGCTTTGTGGGGACATCTTTAAGTCAGTCTTAGAATACACAAGAGATTTCTCAGTTGACACAACGAGTTTTAGCTAATGAGGAAGAGATGCGTCAGATGCGTTCCCAGTATCAGACTCAGTTCAACACATTTCTCAATGTTGTACTCCCATTCCTACTACCTATTATGCATACTACTCTTCAACAGTAACAACATCAACATCAACAACCAAACAGACACCAAGAAGACCAACAACAAGACAATCGACAACCAACAGAGGATTAACAAGCTAATGACCAACATCAACAACATTCACCTGGATATTCAGATTATTAGATATTATGTTATAATTCTACTGAACATACTGTATTTTGTTTTTAAATTTGAACCCTAAACTTTATTTGTTATGTATGACATTTTATTTTGTATGAATGATTAAACTTGTTTTGATTTACATAATTATGATTGATTTAATATCTTTAAACAAGATTATTATTTAATACAATTTTGAATTTTTTTAAAAAATATTATCAACAATACCTACAGAATTATTCGTGGGTAATTTCCCACAGATTTGATAATTTTCCACGGATAAAATCCGTGGGAAATTACCCAGAGATAAATCTGTGGGTAATTCTGTCGGAAAGTTACCCACGGATTATAATCTGTCGATAAATATTTCAGACGAGCAATTTACCGACAAATTGTTCTCCATATGTAATCCGTCGAAAATGAAGTGTTACCCACGGATTTTGGCCGTCTATAATCTCGAAATTTCTTGTAGTGATTATAATTAACATGACACACCGCGCACACATATAAGTTTGTTAATTCACAACTACTTTTTTTTTTAAAAGGAGGAAGTTAACAAGTTACATTTAAATACCTTTTAAAAAATATTATGGTTATAACTTGCTAATATACTCATTTTAAAAAAGAAGATGTATTTTAATAAAACTCACATACATTTGATAACTTACATCCATTTATTTTTAAGAAAAATCAAACTACCAAACTACACTTAGATATATTTTTTTAAAATAAAAATATATTTCAAAAATAATATACTACTTTTAAATTTTTTTATAATATAAAACACAAAAAGGCAATAAAATAATTAGTTTTTAACATTATGAATAATATATCTTATTATAATATATATTGAGAAAATAATTGACATAAAAAATTTAGTGGGAATATTTGCCCCACTTCTACCAACACGAATCTATCCGTTTGTAATGCAATAATCTCTACTCGTGATATATTTTTTCTCTTAAGAAAATACTATTTTCATAAATTAATCATGCAATGCATGATTTATAAATAATTTGAAATATAGAAGTATCACATAACATATATTTATAATCTATCGCAAAATTATTTAATAAATTTGAAATCATTTTATTATTTAAAGATAACATATGTAAATATTTTTGCAATCTATATATAGTAGAGAGTAAAGTAATTTCAATCATAAAAAAAAGTTAATTTTTAATTTTACACATATATGCATAGCATATTGTGCATGAGTTAACCATGAATTTTCTCATAATTTATTTACTTGCTTTAAGGAAGCCAAATCTATAAATTAGTTATTAGACGCTCACGGTTACTATAAAGTTGTTACAATAATATGATCCAAAACAATAATCTATAACAATATATATAAAATAGATATAATATTTGGTGTCTGTTTGTAATGCGAGATACATGGCAACAACTTCATATTTTCTATCATTTAATTAATTTGTTGATTATATCAGTATGTTATTTTTCCATATATCAGTTTGTTACCTATGTTTATATATATACATAGAATTCAGTGTATGTTATTCAATCAATCAATAAAATTAAATTCATTCGTCTATAAGCCTCACAGTGCGGTGTTGCCATTTTATTATGGCATTAGAGCTGGTCAACGGGGACATGGAGAAGAACCATGTTTCTAGCAAAGGAGAAAAACACCTCATGATCACATCATCATCACCATACTACCTCGAGTCATCTGATAATCCCGGGACGTCGTTGGTTGCAATTCCACTCACAGGTGAAAATTACCGCAATTGGGCTCGATCTATGAGGACAACCTTGCGTGCGAAGACAAAACTCAGATTTATTGATAGAAGCATTAACAAACCGACAACAAAATCACCTCAGTACAACAATTAGGAGAAAGTTGATTCCATGGTGATAGCATGGATCATCAATTCGACTGATCCTACCTTGCACGGAAGCATATCTCATGCTACCACTGCAAGATATGTTTGACTTGATTTAGAAGAGAGGTTTTCTTAGACCAACGCACCTCGAGTCCATCAACTTTGGCATGATCTCTACCTAATGCTACAAGACTCACACCTAAGTGTCACAAACTTCTACACAAAATTCAAAAGTCTATTGGACGAGCTAGGAGAATTGTAGCCGTTACCACAATATAGTTGTGGTGCATTCAAGGAGCTAGCACAAAGAGAACAAGATCAACATGTACATTGGTTCCTTGGGAGCCTTGATAATGATCAATTTGGTCATATTAAGGGAACCATACTCAACACTGACCCTCTACCCTCACTTACACGAGTGTTCAACCACGTGCTGAGAGAAGAAGCATGTGTAGCAGTTGTGAAAGACAAAGAACTGAAGCTGGAATTAGGTGCAGCCTTTTACACGAACAAGTACAAGAACCGTGAAGGTCCACGACCCAAGTGCGACTATTATGGGAAGATAGGACATGAAAAGGCTAGGTGCTATGAGTTAATTGGTTATCCAACAAATTGGGATAATCGTAGAACAAGTCATGATGCAAGTAAAAAGGGAGAAAATGGTGGAATGACTCGTTTGGCACGAACTGATGGTGAACAAAATAAGACTACCATGCACAATGAAAATGTTAAAGGTCATGCCATGTTCGGGTCATGTGCTAAAAATGTCGAACACCTCGATCAAATGGTAGGTAAACAAATATTTGATAAATGACATACCTGGGTCTTAAATAGTGGAGCTTCGCACCATATGACTCCATTGCATTCACTATTTGAGAACCTATGATCAATTAATGCTCCTTTCTACATCGCTGTTCCTACTGGGGATAGGGTAGTGGTAGATAGAATGGGGATTATCACTTTAAATAATAACATCAAATTGCATGATGTCCTTTATATTCCACAATTTAATTGCAACTTGATCTTGTTCACAAATTGACTTGTGATTTAAACTGCACGATGACTTACTCTACTCATAATTGTGTGATACAGGACCAAACCACAAGGAGAATGATTGGCTTGGGTGACTCATGTGACGGGATTTATATTCTCAAGAGTACGACAATGGGCACATCTTTGGTGGCAATTCATGAAGATGCAACTAACTTGTGGCATGCAAGGATGGGTCATCCCTCGGATCAAATATTGTCTCAGTTATCTATTTCTTTGAATTTTCATTTTGATAAGAATAAGTTAGAATGTTGTGATGTATGTCATCGCTCTAAACAATGTAGATTTCCTTTTTCTTTGAGTAACAATAAAGCTGAGACACCTTTTGCCTTAATACACTGCGACCTTTGGAGGAAATATTATACGATGACACATAATGGGGCACATTATTTTCTTACAATAGTGGACGACTACACTCAAGCAGTATGGGTCTATCTGCTAAAAGAAAAATCTGAGACTCCAAACATCCTCATGAATTTTTGTAATATGATTCAAACTCAATTTAGTAGGAACGTCAAAGCGGTTAGGAGTGACAATGGGACAAAATTCACTAATAATGTGATTCAAACTTTCTTTCAAAGGGAAGGCATTATTCATGAAACCTCATGCATAGGTATTCCTTAACAAAATGGAAGAGTGGAGCGAAAACATAGACATATTTTAAATGTGGCACGAGCACTCAAATTTCAATCATGCTTACCCATCTCATTTTGGGGTGAATGTGTACTTGCCGCAACACATCTTATAAATCAAACACCAACAGTGGCCAATGATGGTATTACACCTTATGAGATGTTGTATGGAAAACCACCTATCTATGACCACTTGCGAATTCTAGGTTGCCTTTTTTATATCAAAGCTCAACAACATGATAAATTTGGAGTAAGGGCGCATAAGTGTATTTTTGTTGGTTATCCACAAGGTCAAAAGGGATGGAGAGTCTACAACGTGGAGACAAAGAAATTTTCAATCTCTAGAGATGTAATCTTTTATGAGAAGATTTTTCCTTTCTCTACACATGGAGATACAAGTACTATTCCCAAAAATTCTTCGACAATAATGTTTAACAACACAATGCCTATGCAAGATGATGAACCTATCATTCAACGCAATGCTTCAGAATTATCAATCATCTCTTATGATGATCTTTGTGCATCCAACAATGATTCAACACCATAATCAAATCACATGGGGTCTAACAATACCCACCAAGAAAATGAAGAAGTCAAAATATCTAATGAGATAGCTTTTGCTACACGTACTCGAAGACCACCTTCGTACTTAAGAGACTATTATTGTCATGCAGTAGTAAATAATCCTGTACACATGCCACCCAGGCCATCATCTCCTTCTGGTAAGTCTTATTCCATATCACAATTTGTTGATTACAATTGTTTCTCACCCACATATCAAGCCTTCTTGGTAGCCATCTCTACTCATGATGAGCCAAAGAACTACTCACAGGCAGCTAAAAGTCCAAAAAGTGGCGTGATGCCATGGCTCAAGAAATTCAAGCTCTTGAGGAGAACAACACATGGACAATAGAAACATTGCCTCATGACAAGAAACCTGTAGGATGTAGATGGGTTTACAAAATAAAGTACAAAGCCAACGGTGAGATCGATAAATACAAAGCATGACTTGTAGCAAAGGGGTATACACAAATTGAGGGGGAAGACTTCACCTAGACGTTTGCCCTAGTTGCTAAAATGACCACGGTACATTGCCTCCTTACAATAGCCATAGCAAAAGGTTGGTATTTGCATCAAATGGATGTTAGCAATGCATTCCTCCATGGAGATCTCCAAGAGGAATTTTATATGGAGGTTCCTCCAGGATATGTCACGCCTAAGAAAGGAATGGTATGTCGTTTACAAAAGTCTTTGTATGGTCTCCAACAAGCCTCAAGGAATTGGTATGCAAAACTTTCAAAGGCATTGCTTCGCTATGGTTTTTTTCAAAGTGATGTTGATCATAGCCTTTTCACCTATTCCATTGATTCTATCTTTATTGTTGTCCTTATTTACGTGGATGATTTGGTGATAGCTAGCAATGACAATGGAGCTTGTGATCATTTCAAATTATATTTAAGCAAGTGTTTTCACATGAAGGACCTTGGACCTTTGAAGTATTTCCTTGGTTTAGAGCTAGCACGAGGTCCTATAGGTATGTTTCTATGTCAGCGAATATACACTTTAGATATTTTAAAAGAATGTGGCATGTTGGACTGCAAGCCTTGCTCATTTCCAATGGAACAACACCACCGCTTATCTGCAGACTTTGGAACTCTTTACCCTAATCCTCCTCAATATAGAAGGTTAATTTGGTCGATTGATCTACTTAACCATTATTAGGCCGAAAATCTCATATTCAGTTCATGTTCTTAGTCAATTCACGCAAGCACCAAGACAAGAGCATTGGCATGCTGCAATGAGAGTGTTACGCTACTTGAAGTCATCTCCTGGTCAGGAAATTATCTTGCCCAAAGAAAATGATCTAAATCTGGTTAGCTATAGTGATTCTGATTGGGTATCATGTCCCATAACCAGAAGATCAATTACTGGATATTTAATGAAGCTTGGACCTGTACCTATCTCATGGAAGACCAAAAAACAAGCCGCTGTGTCTAAGTCATCAACAGAGGCAAAATATAGAGCAATGTCCCATGCTGCTAATGAGGTAGTATGGCTTAGGTCCCTTCTTGCAACTCTACAAGTGCCTTGTAAAAAGCCAACAACCCTTCTTTGTGATAATCAGTCAGCATTGCACTTGGCTTCCAACCCCGTTTTTCATGAACGAGCAAAACACATCAAAGTTGATTGTCATTTTGTTCGAGAACGTTTGCAATCAGGGGCCCTCACTACATCATACATACCAACCACTTGTCAGCAAGCTGATATGTTCACAAAAGCATTAGGTGCAAAGCAATTTCATGCAATATTATTGTCCAAACTGGGAGTTCACAATGCTCACTCTCCAACTTGAGAGGGAGTAATGCGAGATACACGGCAACAACTTCAGATTCTCTATCATTTAATTAATTTATTGATTATATTAGTTTGTTATTTCCATATATTAGTTTGTTACCTATGTTTATATATATACATAGGAGTTCCGTTTATGTTATTCAATCAATCAATAAAATTAAATTCATTCGTCTATAAGCTCATAGTGCGATGCTGCCATTTTATTAATTTCCTTTTAAAAACATCTATATTTTTATTTTATATTCAAAAAATAATATTTTTTTCTAAAAAAAGTAACTTCTCATTTTTTGAAAAATAATTATCATCGTTTTTCTCATACGTTCCTTTGTTTTTTTGGAGGCACGTGGTAACTTTGTCTCTACTGCCGGTAATAAAAAAAAATTCCATATGAAGCAAGCAGCTATGATAAATATGAGCAAAAATAAGAGAAAACCTGAGTGTATAGCATATATATTATTATGTTTAAAACATACAAGCATGGTGCTAATGCATCATGGGCACATGCAAGTGGCTAGATGAAACACTAGTGTTATACATATAATGAAGTATTATTATCATAATAAGATTAACATGAAGCTAGTTATAAAATCATCCTGGGACCAAACATTTTCACTTGGGAACAAAGACAACATGATCCCGAGGTAGAAAGTGGCAAACAGGAACAGTCCCTGGTTGAACCTTAAGCACTTTGAAGGCCAAATGTTTGGGGTTCCAACGTGACGTGTCAGTGTGACACACTGCAACAGCTTTGACCCTGCTTCCATCAGCACCCTCCAACGGAACAGAATAAACCTTGGTGCTATCCGATTTGTGACAATAGAACACCGCATAAGGGTAACTCTCTTTGTGGCACGCAACAACACCTTTGTGGTCCCCACCCAAGTTCTTAACGCCTGAATAACCTGATATTCTATATTGTTGTTGTTGTAACGCACTCTCTTTTGTCACCTCCGTGGAAACAGCGTCAACAGTGTTCCCGAGCTTGGAAGTGGCGAAATCAACCATGGACTCGAGTGAAGTCACGCAACGCTTCTCCTCTCCCTTGATGCCACGCTCTTGGCACTCACTCAACGTGTTCTTCACAGTTTGGGCCTCGTCTGAGCCTGGCGTGATGGAGAACTCGTTGAGTGTGTCGCTGACCTTGTTTGATGAAAAGGGTATGGAGTCAGCAACTGTGCGAGGCAAGAACGTGGCTTCAATGTTTGAGGTGGGAGTGAAGTGTAGGTTAAATTTGGTTCCTTGATGCAAGTCCTTTTCCAAGAAGAAGAGTGCCACGTTGGGGTCGGAGTTTAGTTGGGTATCGCTGGCTGCATAATTGTAATCAAATGGAGAGTGTGGGCCCACTCCAACATGCACGGGCTTTCCCTTTGGGCCTGTGTGCACGTTCACGCCACCTTTCCCGACGCTGACGGATGTGCCTTTGCGCTTGGGCTTGGGCTTGGGCTTGGGATTGGGCTTGGGATTGGGATTTCCGTGGCCTACGTTTACGTTGACTCCGCCTTTTCCTACGTTGACTGATGTGCCTCCGGGCTTTGTTTTCCCTGTGTCGACGTTCACGCCTCCCTTGCCTACGCTCACTGACGTGCTTTTCTCTTCTACCCAATCTGCCAAGAGGAAAGTTAATAATTAATATTTTTTTATTTTGTAATATAATCATTCTTACTTTATTTATTTTCAAATATTAAAGGAGAGAATTTTTAATTTAATATACTATTACTAAATATTTTTTTAAAAATGTGAAAAAATTTAAATGGAAAATGTTGTGGCAAGGAGTACCATTTTTGTTATCTGGAAGAAAAATGGTGTATTTTTAAATTAGTAGAAGTAAAAGAGAAAAAAAAAATTAAGGGACAAAAATCGAAATTAAATTTTTAAAAGAATGAAAACATATTTTACCTATCCAATTACCGACTAGTTACATTTTTCTGTCTTGTGGGAATTTGGACTTACAAAATAATGCGGATATTCTATATGTCCCTCTTATATATAAAAATTAATCCCATCCTTGCTCTTCAAATAATACCGTGATTTATATTAGATATTGTAAAACTGCGATATGTGGAAAGGCATAGCAATATATATATATATATATATATTCTATTATCATAAATAATTTATCATCTTTTATATTTTTTTAATCTATCTTTCACATATATTTTTTAAAATGTAAATTAACATGATAACTTTTATCTATTAATTTATAATAGTTTTTAAAAAAACATTAAAAGATAAAAAATATTTTTAATATGATTTTGATTAATTTTAAAAATGGGGTACCGTGGCCCTTTCAGTTCCTCTCCTTCTATTCCTGAGCGTGAGCGTGAGCAATACATATATATTCTCTCTATATATCATTATTTTTTTCGACATATTTTATTTTATAGCTTGAAATTTAGATTTAGAGCTGCTAAATAAAGAATGAAAAATCACATAAATTTCATCCCAGATAAAGCATAATGAGAAAGACTATTAGATCTAGAAATGACATTTCTCTTCCACCTAAATCAACCACTTCTTAGCAGTGTATTTTAATATTTGAAGTTTAATAACTATATACTATTTGCACTGACCAGGGTGTAGGATATCTATAATGGCTTTAGGCATTGGAGTAGTGGGAAGCTTGGATTTCCAGTAAACTTCAGGAGGTAAGGCTGCATGAGTTACTGCCACTGCAAGCTGCAAATCAAATATACAATAAAACCTTCATTACCATGAAGTCAACTATATAAACATTATCAAATATATATATATATATATTTTAAATAAGTATCACAAGATATCAAGTTTAACTTGGGGGTTTGAGAAATAAAATGGAACCACAAAGTGGAAAAAAAATAATAATAAGCACAGGGTTGATGGTTCATTATTTTGATGCTCACATTGAGTAATGTAAAGATGAATGAGAGAGGAAACTCCATATTGGAAACTAAAGCTGAAACCAAATGCTTGGTGAAGATATTGAGAGAGATTTAGAGAAACTGAAAGCAAGTTTCTTGAGATAGAATGAATATCCTAAAGTGGCCTCACACAGCATTTATATAGCCGAGGGTGGATCTAAAATTCAGGCAAAGGATATGGGTCAAAATAATTACATTACATAATTATATATTTTTATATATGAAACTCTAATCGGGTTTTACATTTTAGAATAACTTCACTCAAATAGATAAATCACCGACATAAATGCATCCTTTTTAGTAATTATATTTTTTATGAGGAAAATAATAAATAGGGAATGATATCTAAGAGTACGTACCGAATAAAGAGTATGTTAAATTTTTTTAGATCAAATATATTATTATTTTGTTAATCGAATTTAATTTGATTCAAGATTTTAATTATTGTTGAACTGAAAATCAATAAATATATATAATTTGAAAAATTTTACTCTTACATCAAAAAATTATTTTTTGAGTAAATATGTCTATCAAAATAAAATATTTTAATAAATATAAGAAGTGTAAAAACTGCATCATAAAAAACATAATTTCAAATTAAATTTTTATCATTTATCTCAATTCACAATGTGATTTCTTTATATCGATTATACGTAATTATAATAATAAAATTATATAAAAACATAAAAATATTGTAAAATAATTTTTTTTAAAAGAGGCTATAGTTATCATGCTAGAAAAGAATAGTTTTAAATTCTTTTATACCATTTTTTTCTTAATTAATCACTTTAATAAAATAAGTTATTTTGTTTTTTATGCTTTGAAACATCAAATACATTTATCTATGCATGATATTTTCTTAATTAACATTATAAAATTATTAAAAATATTCTAGAAAGAATGGTTCACAGATAAGGTCGGTTACATGTTCAAATAGCATCTGACTTCCAAATTTGTCATACAATTTTAATAACTTCAACTGTCCCTGCTTCGCCCACTTTTAATCTGCAATAAGTATTTCTGGACAGATGGTAGATATGTTTCATTTTATTAACTGAGCTCGTCAGAAAATAATTTTTTGGAGATTGAGTTTTTAAATTTTAACTTCACACGTGTTATAGATGGATTTGAACCATATATGTCATATGATCTCAACTTAGATGGATATTTTATATTTTTAAAATTTATATATTTCTTTCAATATAGATATTAATAAAAATATAAACTTATAATATTATATTTATATTAACATTATGTTTTAAAATATGAACTTAGTTTTTTTTTTTTTTTGTCTCTGGAGTATCTATTGTTGTTAGTAGTGACTAATCTCCTCGCTACATTAGAGACACCTCAAAGATTAGGATAACTGGCCCCAAGATTTAACGAGACACCTCAAAGGTGGGATAACTGACCCCAAGATTTAACGCAGCTGCATAACAAGGCAGGATTCAAATCTCTGACCTTGCTTAAGTGTGGATCAACTCCTACCGCTGAACTACACGCTTGCGGTTAAATATGAACTTAATTAAATGTCTGTATAAATATTTTTATATTATCATTTTATCATAAATTGTCATATAAAATTTGTTGTCTTTATAATAATTTTTAAAAAAATAATTTTTATTACAAGCTTTGGTTGGTTGATAGTATAATATGACAAACGAAAATTAAACTCTTAAAAAATATAGATTAATTTTAGTTTTATATATTGATTTATTATTATTTATGTAGTTAAAATTTATACACACATGGTTATATGTAGCAAATATATTTGACGTACTACCCTCAAACTTTTTAATTGTCTATGTTTATATTGTATATTGATTTAATAGGATACTTCGATATGCATCAAATAACAAACAACTACTCAAAATTTATTAGTGGCAGAACGACAGTTGTTAGTCATTTTCACAGGTAACAAACAGTGACTGGCATATAATGAATTCGAATTAAGTTTGGTTCGTAGAGAAGGGAGAAAATAAAAGAAAATAAATCTTTACTTTTAGAAATCTTTTCTTTTTTCTTTTTTCTACACCTTTTCCCCCAATGATTTATTGAAAGAGAAAGGCTCATTCTCATTAGTAAGGTATATAATGCAATACATCAGGGATGGATCACTTGATTAGTTAGAATAGAATATTTTCATTATTATACACAAGTTGAAAAAGATTTTTCCACCAGGTTTCACTTGTCTAATGAGGCATTAATCTTTGGTCTTCAAATAAAAAAACTTATTAGAAATATGAACTTATTATCTTATATATAAAAAAATGAAACAATATAAAAATGTCTTGGGTAAAAGCTAAATTTTAAAGGTTGTGACTAGTAAGAAATCCTAACTCCTTAATTAATATATGCTCGTGATATAAAATCACATTTATTTTTTATTACTTACTAAACTTTATCTTCGGAGGACTAAAGATAAAAACTGAAGTCATGCTAATAAAATATAGAATTAGTAAAATATTCTTTTATACATAAAAAAAATGTTTGATATTAGTCATTCAAAATAAAATCATTTCCTTCCGGTTCCTTATTTTTTTTTTTAAAATGCATTGGATATGTAGTTTTTATATTTTAACACAAAAAAATCTTATATGAAAATAAGAATCACTACTTCTAACATAATTCTTAAAATGAAGTGTACCTACACGATGGTACATCGGTAATTTCGTCGCTTTATCCTTCTTCTAAGTCCTTGTCCCGAGGATTGTTACCTATACTCTTTATAGTACACTTGATAGTCTTCAAATACACATGTGGGAGAAGGAAAAAGAGGGTACCTATAAAAGGCACTCAAATGTCTAAGTTAGTCATCGAGATCACACAAATCAATGAAAATTAATCTAGTAATAATGCAAAGCCCCTTTTTCTCTCTCTAATCATCATTATTTATATTAATCGTATTAGGCCTAGGCTTATAGGTAGACCTATTAACGACTATAACATCTTTAATAATCTTTTAGATTATATTAATCATTGGAACATACTGAAGGGTCTTTGCTTTTTCACTTTTGTCGCACCTCTCTGGTATATAGGCCTCTAGACTTTCCAGATTTTTGTTAATTAAGAAAATTAAAAGAAAACCTAAGAGTCATTTCAATTCTCCTTTAACCCTAAAATGTTACCTAGCATTTATTTGCCTCTAAGACTGTTGTCTTTTTATTTAAAAGGTGTTACCCTTTATCATATGCTTTTCTCACTAAATGAGGGGTTTAATTTTTTGGTGTATATGAAAAGTCTTATATTTGCATCTGTTGGATCAAACATAAATGAGGAGATGTGATTTTGAACCCCTTCTTTTACCCCACTATAAATACAAGGTTCATTTTTATCATACTTTATGCTCTGAAACTATAGACTTGCCTAAGCTTTCTCTTTGATCGAGCTCTTTTTTCAGTCTTTCCTATTCATCTTTACCCGAAGACTTTTCTCCTTTCTCTAAAACAGCTTTGCTCTCACTCTACTCTTTTTTCATTTTTCTCCATATTTTTTCCCTGAAATACATAATTCTCTACCCTACAGTCTTCTCCTATGTTAAATCCATATTTTTCAATATAATTTTTTAATTGTCCCTACTTACTAAGGTCTTCCACCTTGTCCTTCAAAGTTGCACACTCTTCGGTTGAATGTCCATGATTTTGATGATATGAGCATGACTTCAATAGATCTACTCTAAGGGGCATATGGGCTCTTTTAAGAATAGTTAAAGTTTCAAAGGCAAGTGTTTGCTCCATTCTCATTCTACTAGTATTTAGCGTGATATAACTTGTGTATCGAGGTCCCATTGCCTGATAACTTTTTGAATTATCCCCTCTCGTGTTCTTCTGATACATTTCCTTTTCATTTTCTTTTTTACTAGGGACCGTCTTGGCTCTTGCTTGATTTCTTGATTCAGCTAATTCTTCCATCTGCATGTATTTTTCAGCTCTCTTTATTAAATCATTCTTTATTAAATAATGAGTAACTATTTGACATATAGTTACTCATTATTTATGTATTAATACTACAACAAAATTGTCATATAGTGACACACACCCTATAGTGACACTATACATGTCACTAAAAATTACTTTTACCCACATAATAACTACAATATATGTTGGTATATTATTAAAAAGTGTGAGTATAGACTATAGTGACACATAAAATATGTTGTTAAATCTCATTCAAAATCAATACTAATATTATGTGTAACTATATGTCAAATAGACATATACCTACATATATTGTACCTATAATGACACTTTTTGTATGTCACTATATGTAACATTTCTTGTAGTAGTGCAACATTCAATCTATCCAAAGCAACTATAGGGTTCAAATTTTTTATTTCCATGGCGATTTTATTAAAACAATCCATGAAGGACCGAAGAGACTCTTTTTTCTCTTGTCTCATGTCAGTCAATGCCAATGATGTTAGTTGGTATCGGTTACTAGTAGTGAACTACATAGTAAATAGGGACGACAGTTCTTCAAATGAGTTTATAGATCCCAGAGGGAGCTTAATGAACCAACTCAATGCTCGACCCTTTAAAGAGGTAGGGAAAATATGACATAAAGTAGCATTTTCCTGTGTCAGTAGAGTAACTTGCATAAGGTAGGCATTTAGATGTTCACTAGGATCAGAGGATCCATCATATTTTTCCAGAGGAAGGCTCATCCAATTGTCAGATAATGTTGTCTCCATTATTCTTTGAGTAAAAGGAAGCTTATAAGATCCGGTTATTGTTCCAAATTGAGGGGGAGCCTACTCAGGAATGACCGAGAAGTATACAGGCAGAACCTATGTTTGAAGAGTTGTTGGTACATGATATAATCAGACTTCATTATTATCTTGACCATTAGGGTTCCAAGTTCTATTCAAGCTCCTTAACTCGACATTCTCCCTCTTGAGTGCTTCAAGTTCTTGAGCATCCTTTTCATGAGCTTGTCTAATAGTTATCATTTCTTCATGAAGAAACCTTACAACATCGGAGAGATCGGTTTGATCTTCCATAGCCACTAGTTCTGAAACTTGTTCAAGTTGAACATAGTTGGTATTCTTCCTAGTAGTAACCATCCTTCTCAAAATCTTCTTCCTACAAAACAAACAAATAATATGGGCCTTCAAAATAGGGCCCATG